CAACATGCAGTTATGCCCATATAACATTGAATAGAAAAAACTTTCACTCAAAACTATTCGGGTATAGATATATTATGTAGTATAGTTTCGAAGAGTCCCCTCGTCCCCTTATTCTTCGTTTGGTCAACAACGCATATATTTGCAGAAAATCAGTATAATGAATTCTAGTGGTAATACAATATATATGTGTGTGTGTGTGTGTGTGTGTGAGTTGTCACACAACAACGTGTGTATATTCATCATGTATACAAAGACTACACACATCATAGGGTATTCTGTCCATGCACACTTTGTATAATATACGACTACTGCAGTGTGCGAATTATTATTTATACAAACCGCTACGAGTGCGTCCCACATGGCTTATGTGTCTAACGAGCGTATATAAGGGATGAACATGTTTTACTCACGTGTGACGAATATGCAAAGCGAGGGAGTATTCGTGATGCATATAATAATATAACATGAATCGATACGGTTAAATAACAACAGACCTTATTTCGACGGACGCGAAAACACGACGAGTATAATGCTGACCTTATAATTTAAAATACCTATACTTACGGTTATACGATACATATGATAAGGGGCAGTTCTGCAGAGATACGCGGAATCACAAACTCTTTCCGTGACACACTTAATAATTGCGGTAATTCGTTGTCGACTAGGACGATTTATTTATATTTTTTACGTGTATCAAGTACCTACCTATGCATCTGCAGTCGTTCTGTATATACCGGTCGACTATCACGACGTTGTACTAGACATATGTTGGAGGGGTTAGGGCGATAAAGATAGAGTTCAGGAAAAAAAAAATGATACAATTTTAATATGATATAGCTATATACACTTTACAGTATAAGAATAGTAAGATAGCATAATAATATTTATTTATCTCAACTGATCGAGCCTGATTAACGAAACGATATAATTATAATCTATGATGACAGCAATCAAGACAGCGACACAGAAAGAAAAATTAAGTAACGGTTAGAATACGTACCTAACGATTAAGAATACATAAATTGTGTTAATTAGATTAAAAACAAGTATGTACAGAAATCGCAACATTTTAACGTAAATCAAATGTCACGAGATGATGTGATGAATAAATGCAAAAAACTACATTTATTGTAAATAATATACAGAGTGCAATAATCGAATGGACGGAGTATATGTAAAGCATATACTTATGACGCAAAAAAAAAAAAAAATTATAATAGTATTATTTTTTTGTACCTAGCTATAGAAGAATACAAAAAATAATAATAATAATCATACATGTTTAGTTTTAAAAATGAGGCGTTACGCGCGTTATGATTTTATTTAACGACTATGAGCAAGCTGCATCAGTAATATTATTATGTACAACAATCTATCACGGTGAGGTAGGCAAAAAWTTTTTTAAAAATGGAGCTTACAAAGGAAATAAAAAACGATAATAGTCCAAAACGTAAAGGCAATATTATAATATTATTGTGTCCACGTTATCTTGCTGCACTTAAGATTGTTTCAACTCATATTATGTATTTTGTCTGATACTCTGATATAATATTTTTACATGGTATATCTATAAACTTGATTCGGACCTGTCAATTTCGATAGCCGACTTGATAGTTTTAACATTTCGTGTTTCYTCAAGATAATTGCATTTTTAATTCAATTAAAATTGTATATCGATTACAACTAGAGGGAAAAGTCGTTAAAAACGAATTATTTATATTCGGTGCATCTCAAAACTAAAAGGATTATTTATATATATTTTGTTTTTAATTATAAAAGTTAAACAATAAATTATATAAATAAGATCCTAAACAAAAAAAATGACATTATCGTATCGTATATAATTGCTTGATAGTACGAATTAAATAGTTTTTTATTCAACATTTTTATCATCTCGTGGAAATAATACAAATTTTCTACATAGATGCGTCCATCTAATTGTTGACTCGCGGCAAGTTTTAAGTCAGTGTAGAAAAAGCTGGTTGCTAATAAAAAGCAAACAATAATTATATTTTTATAATGTAACTCAGAAAAACTAACACGAAGTGGGTTAAATATTTTCATGAAAAATGCATAATTAAACCTATCATCGTCTCGAAATAGTCATAATTCATATCGTATTTTATAAATTAACCGGGAAAAACAGTTTTTGTAATAGGATTTATGTTTGGTTGAAAATATTTCCGTTATACGAATAAAATTATGAGTAATTAAGTTTGGGCAAACCCATTAT